AATATTTAATAAAACCTGCAATAATTAATAAAATCTATAATATTTAATAAAACCAACAATAATTAATAAAATCTAAAATATTTAATAAAACTCGCAATAATTAATAAAATCTACAAAACTTAATATAACCTACAATAATTAATATAATCTACAATAATTAATTTGCACTATTTATAACGACGACATACGCGACACTACTAAAGAATCACTACGTAATCGCTAAATAAACTAAAACTTAGTTTTCCGAAGATGAACTCTATTTGCTCGTAGAATGCAAAGGGCACCGTTCGGAAAGGACAACTGATATTGTTGAACTGATCCTCCCTCGTTAGGATCGATGTGGCGTAATAGGTCGATCCCCACTCTTTCATGGTCAATACTTTTTGGGAAGGAAAAACTGCATGGGAAAGTGTCTTGGAGGTCGCGTTTCTTTTCGTATATTCTTAGAGCAACATCTGTATTTTTTTCTCATACACCACTCGGGGCCTCGAGGCTACTTGGCCACGATGCCGAGGGAGCGCGCGTCTGGACATTATAAAACTGCCTCTTGTCTTCTGCAGGACGACCACCCGCGGATTTACTGTAACGTCTTACTGCCATCGACGAAGACCTTGCCTATTGTGTTTTCGGCCGTCCCTCTAGACATTAACTTGTAAAAAGAACTTTCAACCTCGAATTCCAATTCCATGTTAGAAATGGTTCATATTACACCGAATGTATGTGTTTAACAATTTCCTTTATTTTATTTTATGTAGTTTCTTCATGCATCGTAGTGCAAGTGCGGCAAATTTCATCTTAGTTTCATTCTAATATCATTATACGTTTTGTATGATCCATGTTAATTGTATATTGTTTTTTTGCGGTAAAAAACCTCAAACACTTGGAGTAAGATTGAAGTGGTAATAAAATATGCAATGCACATAAAACATACAATAAGTCAATATTCAATATTTCAGGAATAAACAGCGGCGCGCTCCGTTTTAGGTAGCAAATCGCCTTCGTCGGTCGACCGTAAGCGGCTGGTGTCATTCGTACCAGAATGACTTTTATTTAGGGAGTGACTGTATGGACTAGCTTGTCCTCCTGTCGTGCATGCATTAATTGCTTATCGTTCGAAGCTTCGCTCGATAGGATAATATCTTTATTCCTGAAATATTGAATATTGACTTATTGTATGTTTTATGTGCATAGCATATTTTATTACCACTTCGATCTTACTCCAAGTGTTTGAGGTTCTTGTTTCCGCAAAAAAACAATATGCAATTAACATGGCTCATACAAAACGTAGAATGATATTAGAATGAAACTAAGATGAAATTTGCCGCACCTGCACTACGATGTATGATGAAACTACATAAAATAAAATAAAGGAAATTGTTAAACACATACATTCTGTGTAATATGAACCATTTCTAACATGGAGTTGGAATTCGAGGTTGAAAGTTCTTTTTACAAGTGAATGTTAAGAGGGACGGCCGAAAACACAATTGGCAAGGTCTTCGTCGATGGCAGCAACACGTTGCAGGCAATCCGCGGGTGGTCGCACTGCAGAAGACAAGAAACAGTTTTATAATATCCAGACTCGCACACCTTCGGTATCATGGCCAAGTGGCCCCGAATGGTGTATGAGAAAAAAATACAGATGTTGCTCTGACTACCAACATACCCAAGACACTTTGTCATGCAGTTCTTCCTTCCCAAAAAGTATTGACCATGAAAGAGTGGGGATCGACCTATTACGCCACATCGATCCTAACGAGGAAGGATCAGTTCAACAATATCAGTTGTCCTTTCCGAACGGTGCCCTTTGCATTCTACGAGCAAATAGTGCTCATGTTCGGAAAACTAAGTCTTAGTTTATTTAGCGAGAACGTAGTGATTATTTAGTAGTGTCGCGTATGTCGTCGTTATAAATAGTGCAAATTAATTATTGTAGATTATATTAATTATTGTAGGTTTTATTAAGTATTGTAGATTTTATTAATTATTGTAGGTTTTATTAAATATTGTAGATTTTATTAATTATTGTTGGTTTTATTAAATATTATAGATTTTATTAATTATTGCAGGTTTTATTAAATATTGTAGGTTTTATTAATTATTGCATGTTAGAAATTAGTATACATAGATGTTATAAATTAATTAGAGTAGGTTAAAAATTAGTGTTAAATAGTTTTAAATTAATTATTCTGAGTGTTGGTTTTGTGTAGCCTGCCGAGTGTTAAACCCAACGGAGGAACAGCTCGCGGGTCTACTTAATCGCGCAGTGTGTGAACATTTTTCGCGGTCGGGACAATCGCTCGGTGTGTGTGGACACTTTTCGCGGACTTCTGTGGTGTACGTGCATGTGCGGATTAATTTCATGGATACTCGTGGACAGGACAATTGTGGTACGTGACAACTAGAGGGGGCATTAACCCTCTCTACTCGATAATATTGGTAAGAAGATATTTACATTTCTTGCCAATTTTATCGAGTAATCAGAGTTAATGCGATTCAAGTGGATTCGATTCAAATATCGCGGGCACAAGTTATGGACATCTACGGGGTAAGTAAACAGCTGTTCTACCGACTTTTCCTGCACGTCGTTGAGTCTTTAAAGTGACTATACGACCCTGATGAACCGTGATCCGATGACACTCCGTGCGCGCGGATTGCCATAATTTGGGTCAATTTATAAACGCTTATAACTAACAAACGAAGCATTTTTCGTATTTTCGTTATTCTTGATTTTCGTCTTATTTTGCCTGAAATAATCGCTCCTTAAATTGTTTCCCACTAGTTGTCGAACACCCTGTATAGAATACCCAGAATATATTTTGTATCATTTTTACAATTTGTTTCTCGGGAATACCATTTCTAGTATTTCATATGTAATTCCATTGTTTAAAAAAATAAGCATCATTGCAGGTACGAATAGAAAAGGTATACCGTCGCGCCATTCTTTTCGTATGTCGGCGAGAATCGAAATGTCGCCACGAGCCATAGGCCTAGGCGGTAGGTATTCATGTGGCAACATGTGGGAATATATGGCAACAGCGTAACAAAACAATTGATATGATCCAGCACGTGTTGTGAGGTTATATTTACCGATTCCCTTTGTTTTATCGATACTCGGTGGTAAAATGGTCAAAGTGACTAACAAATACCATAAGCGCCCCTAGCGGAGAATCCTTGAACTATACCACTGTATATTCCTGAGTCTGGACGCGTCAAATTGTAAAATTCAACTTACGCTTTCCACGAGTGATAAATTAACTAAAATAGCATTTTACGATAGTGTGACAGTGGTGTACAGGGTGGTCTGGCCAGCTTTTGACGAGAACAACTAAATCGTGTGATTTGACAAAATATGACTTGAGCAGCCATCTTGTGTGCTTCCTTCATCGGCGTCTGTCACAATCGCACAATTTCTAAAATTCTAATTCTTTCAACGTATGGTGTTTATTGGTATATCTGAGGACCAGACCACCCTGTAGTGAAGTCTACCCGCGAAATCTTCATTTGTGCAATTATCGAGGCAGAAGTTGGATTCTACGAAATCGAATGTTTCTCTCGTGCATCGCGTATACATACACGGTTCCCGTTGTTTGTGGCATCACACGGACACAGCTCACGGCCCACAGAGTCTCTCCCCTTAAGGGGTGAGCCTGGTGTAAATAGCATAATAGTGTTCGAATTTTTGAGAATTTATTGTAAAGAAAGTATTAAACCAATCTCACTGAAACTTTGAGAATACTTTATTGTACAATTAAACTGAATTCAAAAATCGTTATTTTCATGACAAATCGATAAACATTATAGTTATTAATGACTTATATGCAGCCTGTACGCAAAATAGGTGTTCCACGCCGGGGTATTTACCCAAAAGAATATTCAACCAACTGATCCAGCCTAACATATACATATTCTTTAACATTCTCTTCATAGTATGAACTTATTTTGAAGCTAAATAATTCAAAATTGAAAGAATTATGAGATTTTGTGAAGAAATGCAACTTTTTTTCAAGTAAAAAATGCTGCAAAATATGATTTATTGAAAGAATAAAATTACAAATGTAGGTTCATGCTGTGACTCACAGATATGAAAACATACATGATACCAGTTTTTTATTTTCTAATTTAAAATACATTGCCATATGGCTACAGTGGGAGCGAAAGGGTTAATAAACATCGGCATTGATCGAATTAATTATTGTTTCTTTAATTTACTTTATGAAAATCGAAATTTTCAGAAATATTTGTAGGTTATTATTGATTATATTATTAGACGGCAGAAGTTTATGCAAATACATAATTTTCGATACTAATATCTAAAAATTAAAATTGAACAGAATTTCGAATTCTACGTAGAGACTTTACTATGTTCATAATAATACACAATAGGATGAAACATTATTAAAACCTTTAGTTTATTGTATTGTTCCCGTTCAAAGGTGCTATAAATGCATAAACAACATTCAATGTAATAATGATCATTAGTAATTTATACTCGTTTTTGATAGATTGAAAGATATACTTGAAAGGGTGGATCTTCCAATTCTACAAACGCCTGTTCAGTCATTTATGACTGTTTGTTGACCCTCTAATAAAGTTTAGACAGTTATAAAATTTAGCAGACACAGATTTACTGTTAGCTAGTACAGTGATTTTTCGATGAATGCGACACGAACAACGACGTTATTCCCACCACTGGGAGGGGGTCATCCCCTGCAACCAATCAAAACAGATTAAACAGAAGCTAAGCAGACGCTCGGCTTCGGATGAAAAACAAATTTATGAGGAGCTGAAAATCTTTTCACCTTGTCATAAATGCTCCGAAGCGGATCCGAGTACGTCGCACTCATCGAGACATTACTGTACAATAAAGTATTCTCAAAGTTTTAAACAGATTGGTTTAATACTTTCTTCACAAGAAATTCCCCAAAATTGATTCATTTTTAGCCCGTTTACACTAGGCTCTCCCTTAATCCTTCTTATCGGTATAACAATATACGTACTTGTTGATACCATCGAAGTCACCGCCAACACCGATGTGGTCCACGCCGATCAAGTTCCTAATGTAGTAAATATGCTCGGCGACATCGGAGACGGTTGCCTGCGAGCCGCACTTCACGAAGTAATTATAAAACGTCACCATCACCAGTCCACGGTTAGCAGCCTGTAAATAAAGTTCACGGGCTTTTGATCCGGCCACACGCGCCAAACTTCGAAAAACGGGCTTTTCTATCCGAATTGATCCATTTATACACGGGGGATGTGTTACTATTTCACGTCCGTGAATCCGAACTGGCGGACAGACCGGCGATGGTAATATCATTTCGGAGATGATTGATGAAAAAGCGAAACAGCTTTCGTCCGGTCGGAGCCTCAGACGTTTAACCGCACACACCCGCTTTTGTTCGCCCCCCCCTGCGTTCCCGACCGGAGCCACTGCGGCACGTACTTTCGACCCGCGAATCCACTGCAATGTTCTCACGAAACTGCATCTCGCCTCGACCGCGTGTCTCGATTTTTTTTTCTGAATCGGGCTTCCTGATATCACTGGTTCATTGTTTCGTCAATAGATTGTTCGACCGTCTATTTGTTGGATTTTCGGATTGTGTGTTCTGCGGTACGGATAATTAGGTATTTTGAAAGGTTTATCGAGTGAATGGTACTTCACACGGTGAGCATAGAAAGTAATTTGAATGATTCTTCTCTTTAACACTAGAACTACCGATGATGAACGTGTTAGTATTTGTCAGGTTGGTAAAACGGACAGAGTTTTGTGGTAATCGTGGTACAACTAGGCAGGAGGTGATTCTATAAGAAAAAATAAGTCAAAAAAAAAATTTTTTTTCGTTTGTGAAAATTAATCTGAAACGCGTGTATTCGTCATGATAGTAAGTAGAAACGGAATGTAATGAACAGACGTGGTTGCCAAGTCCTATTCAATTGCACGCGTATCCAGCAGGTTTTTAAATTCCATTAGCTCGAAAACGAAGCTTAAATGAAAAAATGTTATTTGTTTACTTATTTTTGCATGTAGAATCGTTACCCGGTCGGCTGTACCACGATTTTGGGGACACCCTGTGTGTTGCCGTGAAAGTTGCAAAGAATCTCGGACAATATACTGTTACATGCAGTTTAGTAATTTTTATGAGTTTGTGATTTTGATTGCTTTGATAGTTCTAGTGTTAATAGGAAATGTATTTAACACTAGAACAATTGAACTCGTTAAAATGACGGATTTCATATTTCTTATTTTACAATCACTGAAATCATAAAATTACTTTTTTCGGAATTTATGTTGACTTTCATTACACAGTCTAATAAGTAGTAGATTCACCATCCAGAAAAATGTCATATATTGAAGTCTAATACCTCAAGTTATTTCATGTTATTTTCGCTTTGTTGAAAACATGAAATGCTACGCAATGAATCAATTTCTTTTCGTTTTCCTGAAAAATTACGTTATGCTTATTTTTATTTTATTTTTATATTACGTTTTCGACCTGTGCCACTTTTCTTGTGACAGTGCGATACAATAAATGTTGCTATGTTAATATACTGTTACAAAAAGACATTTTTCGTAAGAGAAAATCATTTGAATGTTAGGTACTAATAAGTAATCAGTTATTTTCTTAATAAGATGGCAATATAATTTTTTGGTAATGATATGATAATACTTCAACGATATCCTTGCCGTTGTGTCTGATAAAAATGACGTTGGATTATACAGAAAGCTGACTGGGATATTACTAAGTGTGAGCGTCTTTCTCATGCTGATATATCTGTAATTACCCTACCAGAACGAGTTTTTTTGAATTTTAAGGAAATCGAATGCATATTCACTTACACGTGTACGCAGAAGTAACGTTATGTTAGTTTTCTTCTAGCAAAAGATAAAGACACTACCGATGAAATAAAATGAAACGAGGATATCAATTTGAATGCGAGGACCATTTTATTTTTGTGTACAATGATCTATGTTACTTGTTTAACTCTTTGAGGCATGGTTGTAAGTAGAATATACCGCAGTCTCAACTGAATATAGAAATGTTACACAGTGATAGTTTTATGCTATCAGGTGTTCGAATTGTTCAACTAGTTCTCCTGTTCATTACTGGTTTTTAAGCAGAAAAAAAATGAAAAAATTCAAAATCACGTTTTTCAATTATTTTAGGATAAAATGACCCCAATTCATTAAGGGTTTAAAAATATATATTCAAATAAAAATCTGTGCGTCAAGGAGTTAAGGAAACTCGGAAGGCAATTTCGATTTAATGTATGTATTAGACCAGTGCAAAAGTTTTTATGGATTATGCTCTAAAAGAGTACACTAATAATAAATTAAATTATAATATAGTGGTAATTTGATGAAATACACAAAGATTTTTTTTATAAAATATGTATTTTCAATAGAAATTGTTATTCTAATGAATAAATTTTTGGAATATTAATTATATAGTGAATTCACGCATATAATTAAATTATATTAATAAATTTACAATTTAACACAAAGTGGAACTACTAAACAGCTTCTCCAAACTGATCGCAAATGTTTTGTGCGGTGTTTGTAACGTTTATTCCTTTCGTTTTTAAAAATTGCTTTTCAGAAGCTCAATTTCAATTTTATTTTCGACTATAAAGCACTCAATCGCGACTTTAGCTAAACAACAATTCACTGTATTACATTGACATCGACACATAATATATCAACATACATAAGTATTTATTGTTTTCGCAAAATCATGGATCACATCATCTGCAGAAAGTCTATCAATTCTTTCGCACTGACCCAATATATTGTTTTTTTTTCTATTACGAAAATGGTGGATTACACAGTGGTGTATCTATTGTTTACGCGAGGAACAGTTATTTAAAGAATCAAGGAATTTGAAAGATGGCGAGAAGTTTCAGGTAATTTCGAGGTGAATCTCGAATTTATGATGAGGTATTACGTGGCGTACCAGCTGCTTTAGAATGTCGTCGGGGACGTTTCGCGAGGAATTGCAAATGGCAAAGGCCGACGAGTGAGAAAAAATGAGGGGTGCCCGGCTGGCCCTTAAAGCGTCCCTCATGGTGGCCCTCGCTGTGTGACTAAGGTCTATCAGCATTCCGAGCCTATTCATTTCCTGGACTACTGCCTTCCCGAACGCTGTCAAACCGCCGCCTGAAACAAAAAGGAGGAACCTCACTTCTCTCGTCCCTTGTTTACTGTCTTTCATTGTTCATTGTTTCGGCACAATGGGGGATCGTGGGTCTTAACATGTTCGAATCGTCACGGCGCGCACGGTTTTCAAACAATTTATTTCATTTACGTGGCGAATCTATATTCTTCTTTTGTATAGACGGAAGTAGAGGAATTTACATAGAAACCATCCCGTGAATCGAGAATGTTTCATCAGTAGTATTAGTGATTGAATTTTAAACGAAATTAAACGAAATTAATATCAACTGTCGTATCCACCATTTGGTTTTGTTAAAACAATGAGTTGAGGTAGATAGGTAAGTATAGAATATTGTTTAATGTTTTGTTCATCATGCACATAAGAGTATGAAAATATAAGTGAATATCAGGCAGACCATTCAATCTGAATGTAATCACATTTTTGTAAATTAATTTGTAAGAAAAAAGTCTCAAGTGGAAATTCATTTCCTCAGTTAAGGTAAATCCGGGAGAGATGGACTAGTGGCAGAGACGGACCAGAATCGTATTTCTCGAACTATACAGGGTGTCCCAAAAATGTCCTCCGACCCGGAAATGAGGAACTCGGGAGGTGAATTGGAACAACTTTTTCCTTAGCAACAATGTAATCTGAGGCTTCGTTACCGAGATATTAACGAAAAACTGCGACCAATTAGAGCGCGAGTTTGCCAGCCGAGTTCCGGCGCTAGCGGTGGCTACGCGCTACGCTTGTACTACGAAGCTCCAAACAAGTAGGTCAGATAAAAAGGTAGGTCAAATAAAAAAGACGTAACAAATAAAATCATACTTTTTATCATCTGTCGTAGGTTATTTAAAGAGATTAATGAATGAAACGTAAATGTACGCAAATTATATAGTATGTAACGTAAAAAATCGAATGCACATTTATTTTTTTTGTAAATTCCTTTTTACGTAATGTAACAGAGAATGAACGAGAAGTGATCGCAGTTCGGTATTGGTATAAAAATTTGTAGTTTAATAACGGTCAACAATGTTACTGATAATAAATAAGTGTCTTCAAAAAGCCCGAAGAAAAAGTTAGGTACAGAAACTTGCAGAATTATCGCCGGAAATAAGCCATAGCTTGCGGTAAATTAAAAAAATAATTGTCAGCAATAAATTGATTAGAACTCACCCTTTCAGAAATTCACCTGCAGTTTGCAAACCTGTGTCACTAGGTCACTGAACCGATCCTGGTCATTGACGGCCGAAACGGTTTATGGCAGGGTATCGTCCAGTTCGCAGGTGACCGCAGGTATACCTCACCAGCCGAAGTTAAGGGTTCTAACGTCAAGTGCGTCCTGGTTATTCCACAGAATACGTACTCACTTCACTGCACGACGACTAACACTGATCACCCGACACAATCACTTAATGTATTTTTAAGCCAACGTGTTGTTTCTACGTTAGGAAAATTCGTGGCCCCGGAAATGGCCGATTGTTTTCAATTTATCAGATGTTTTAAACCAGAACATTGCGTAATACTCCCGTGAACTGAACATCTCTGTCACCCAATTGCTAACCGACGGACAGAATTTTTCCGAAAGGGCTTGCTCTACCGCCAAGTAGTTTGCCATCGTTACGTTGTGAGTTCACTCCTACCACGACAACAAAATTTAGGTAAAAAGAAACCCGCGTTCTAAGAAAACACGTGCTTTGCAGAAGTGCAACGGACGAACCGTCGTGCAGTTTCACCCAAGCGCGGGCTCCGTTAATTTACTGTCAGGATACCCAATGCTTCGAGATAGAAAGCAAAAACTACGTTTTCCTCGAGAAGCAGAGAAAAAAATTTCACGGACACATGTTGAGTTGACGCTGCTTAACCTTGTCCGAGCACCTTAGCAGAGGCCGGAGCGGACGTTCCGGTTATTTACGACCTAATTGCTTCGGCTTCGTAGCAGACGTAGACTCACAAGGGAACAACATCCCGAATTTTGACAATCGTCGGTTTTTATACAACTCTGTGAGATTGTAGTTATAATCAAAATATTTGATACGTATTTCTTTTTAGCTGCTCTCATCCACGTTGAAGGGGTAATAGCGGAGCGTCCAGTTCTTCTACCTGAACCGGGGTGCAGTGCTGCCTTTAATAACTTACTGCGACATTAATATGTACCGCATCACCCTACCGATAGGCTTATTTTATGGAAAACACGTCATCGAATATGGTAGTGTTTATTTCGGATTTTAAAAATCGCAACCTCGAAGTAAAATATGGACAATAAGAATTTGTTAACAATTTTTAATATTTTAAAAATGATTTTTCGACCTCGAAGAAATTTATTCAGGAAGGCTGATCCTTCTCGATTAAAACAGAATGAATAATCAACCGAATATGAGAGGTAGTTTCCGAGATATAAATTCATAAGTACAATATGTACAAAAAGTACATTATGCTTTATGCTTCCTTGTATTTTGTATCAGATGGAATAGTTCAAAGCGTATAATTAAATACATAGAGCACTTTAACGATTTCCAGATATTTCTGTTACGGTATGCGTTGCTGGTTGATCCTCAAATGGTTGAAGTTCAGTCTGCAGGTATGAAAGTTCCCTGCGTTCTGTAGCGAAACGTCCGCTCCGGCCTCTGCTAAGGTGCTCGGACAAGGTTAAGCAGCGTCAACTCAACATGTGTCCGTGAAATTTTTTTCTCTGCTTCTCGAGGAAAACGTAGTTTTTGCTTTCTATCTCGAAGCATTGGGTATCCTGACAGTAAATTAACGGAGCCCGCGCTTGGGTGAAACTGCACGACGGTTCGTCCGTTGCACTTCTGCAAAGCACGTGTTTTCTTAGAACGCGGGTTTCTTTTTACCTAAATTTTGTTGTCGTGGTGGCAGTGAACTCACAACGTAACGATGGGAAACTACTTGGGGGTAGAGCAAGCCCTTTCGGAAAAATTCTGTCAGTCGGTTAGCAATCGGGTGACAGAGATGTTCAGTTCACGGGAGTATTACGTAATGTTCTGGTGGTACGTACAGAATAACGGATAAGCGGCTGCTGATGTGCAAGTGTTTCGCTACGTAAAACATCTGATAAATTGAAAACAATCGGCCATTTCCGGGGCCACGAATTTTCCTAACGTAGGAACAACACGTTGGCTTAAAAATACATTAAGTGATTGTGTCGGGTGATCAGTGTTAGTCGTCGTGCAGTGAAGTGAGTACGTATTCTGTGGAATAACCAGGACGCACTTGACGTTAGAACCCTTAACTTCGGCTGGTGAGGTATACCTGCGGTCACCTGCGAACTGGACGATACCCTGCCATAAACCGTTTCGGCCGTCAATGACCAGGATCGGTTCAGTGACCTAGTGACACAGGTTTGCAAACTGCAGGTGAATTTCTGAAAGGGTGAGTTCTAATCAATTTATTGCAGACAATTATTTTTTTAATTTACCGCAAGCTATGGCTTATTTCCGGCGATAATTCTGCAAGTTTCTGTACCTACCTTTTTCTTCGGACTTTTTGAAGAAACTTATTCATTATCAGTGTTACGTCCCGCGTTGCGGTCGTTACTTTACTTATAACTTCGGGTCCTGGCTCTTTTAAGGTGCTAAAGCACGCTCTGTCTAAACTTATCGGTGAAGTACGCGGTTTGGATTTGGAACGATAGGACTAGGAAATCACTCTCCTTTATAACAATAATAAGATATATTCTAACAATCAAAATAAAAATGAAAGATACAAATAAGCCTTAACATACCAATGGTGATAAACATGAATGATACGCTCGTGTCGCTTTCAGTCGGTTCGATTGGGATTACGGGTCCTTGAAAGGGCGGAAGACTTGCTGGCGCTCGGAGCCGTGATGCAGGGGTCGGGCACTGCGGGAAACGTTGTCACCGTCTCGGACGTCACACTTCGCGGTCCGGTGTCTTATCGAACTCGCCTGTTAGGCCGCGCGTAATCGCAAAGTCGCGTCGCACACGGAAGAGATATCGTCGCGAAACCCGATCTGAACAGCTGAGTGACCGTTGTCGCTCAGCTTGCCGACGAAGCACCGTCTGGCACGACTGCCGAAATATGAGCCCCAAAACAGAGCGAGAAATAAAGCTGAACTCAACTTACTGACTGACTGACTCACTGACTCGGTTTTGAACAATCCCATTTATGTGTTCTTCCCCCTTTCCTTTTGTTAAGAAACGCGCAAGATACGGGGTAGCAACAGACTGTGATTCACGATGGTCTCGAAACGAGGTTATAGAATCGCTGACGTTTCTGTCAGCGTCCCGAAAAAGGGGACAATCACTCCGTTGCTTCCACGTGTCGCTGAATTAACGGTTTTCGCTCGTTCTTCTCGTTGTGAAGTAATATGGTAAAAATGTGCAACGAAAAGAGGTTATGAAATACAGGACATAACATCAGTAACATTGTTGACTGTTATTAAACTACGAATTTTTATACCAATACCGAAGTGTGATCACTTCTCGTTCATCCTGTGTTACATTACCTTTCCGTTCACACGTTATTTGAAAAGGAAGTTTACAAATTCGTAAAAAGGAATTTACAAAGAAGTAAATGTGCATTCGTTTTTTTACGTTACACATAATTTGCCTACATTTACGTTTCATTCATTAATCTCTTTAAAGAACCTACGACAGATGATAAAAGGTACGATTTTATTTGTTACGTCTTTTTTATTTGCTTTATACGCAGTTTCCTGCGATGCATACTGACCTACTTGTTTGGAGCTTCGTAGTACAAGCGTAGCGCGTAGCCACCGCTAGCGCGGGAACTCGGATGGCAAACTCGCGCTCTGATTGGTCGCGGTTTTTCGTTAATATCTCGGTAACGAAGCCACAGATTACATTGTTGCTAAGGAAAAAGTTGTTCCAATTCACCCCCCGAGTTCCCCATTTCCGGGTCGGAGGACATTTTTGGGACACCCTGTATAACTAACATAAATCTTCGATATGTATTTATTATATTTTCATTACAGCTTCAGATTAAAAAGTTATAAAAAATGACCTTTACTATTTTCTTCGCGATTCCAAGCAATTGAAACTTTTTCAATTTTTTTA